CTTCCACGTCAGACAGCCCAAAAGAGCCCGGATACACTACCCTTTATCTAGGATGTTATTGAGGAGAGAGGTGTATGCTCTTGCTCTCACTGTTACAGACAAGGACTTGGATATCTTTTGGGGAGATGTGATGTGTTCAAAGATAGCCGAGGGGAAATGCAACGTCCTGATAAAGATCCAGGAGGTTGGGTTAGGTAATGTAACAGCTCCCCAGGCTTTAAACTCTACCGCAGGAGCACATCTCACACTGGTTATCAGGGTTTATGGAGGATCAGTGTTAGATCACCAGTGATGTCTGATTGCTATTCAAACTGAAGTCACTGTGTTTGGATCGAGCTCCAGTTCTTGCTGCAAGGTAAGGGAGAGCTTGGAGACAGGTTCAGAATATCGTGGCTCTCACACTGAAAGTATGCTGCAGTACAAAGGTTCCACAGACACTTGGTACACTGCCTGCAGATAGCGGGGCTGCTTGGGTAGGCTTTTCTCCTTCAGAAAGGGAAACAGGATGGACACTGAAAAACAATCATAAGCTTTCTTGTCGCCTCCTCTGCTTAAACAAGTGACTTTCTGGATACAGCAGCTGTTCGACAGCAGTTTTAGTAAGGATAAGGTAAGCTTTCTAGCTAATAACAGTACCCCATGAAAGAAGTTCTAAGGATTTCGTTACAGTATAAATAAGGGACAAAATAGTTGTGGCTGTAAAAAAGCATCTTACAGGGGTAGTGGGGAGAGTCTACCCCTCTGGGAAAGTGCAGGGCCTTGTCAGTGCTCTGCTGCATTAGGAAGCTGAAGCACATAGTCTAGAGGGCTACTCTGTATGCATGCTGTTAGCATGCAAGAAACTACTCGCAGGAATGGCTCCAATGAAAGATGTCACTTTCTGTCCTTGACTTGGATATAGCTTTTGTTAGGAGAGAAACAGCCCAGACTTTTTTGTGGTGCATTTACATATCATCATCTGCTGAAATGCACAGGCTACAGAGGCTGAGCCAGACTGGTCCTAGTATCTGCTTTAAGTCATCCTTTCTCCATTACTAGCAAAGCTCGGATCTGAATGGCTGACAAAGCAGCCCGTGCAGCTCTCCTGAACCAACAGCTGCTGGATCAATAGATGGAACAAGCAGGGTACTAATCCCTTGAGACTTAAACTGGTGTGAGCAGGAGCAGGACAGTAGCACTAGTAATGGTGTAGATTCCCTATGCAGCGGAAAAAGTTCTCAACCCCTAAAAATGAAATAATTTGACAGTTACTGTATTGTAGCCCTCTTGCTCCTGACCTCTTCTACCAGCATGAAGGGACAGCTATACCTAGCGCTCTCAATTTAGACCTGAATGGAGCCTGCTTGGGATTTAATTGAACATGAGAAAACACAGCCTAAGCATTAGAGAAGACTTCACTTTAGAATTCAGTAGGGTTTATTCTACAAATCTTAGATCAATGCCAATGATACAAGTTTTATGAATTCTCATTAAAAATACAAGTCAGTATAAAGATTCCAATAGTAATATAATGCATGATGATTCAGTTTCAAAACTTAAGGAATGAATCTGGGTTTTGGACCGTGCTGCAGAAAAGGGGAACACAATGTAGAAGAATATTTAGTTTACCTCCTTCCCTTTAGGAGGGGCCTGTGCCTTATTGCCACAATACCTGAAAGAGCAATATGAAGTGCATAGCAGCCTTGCCTGTGCAGTCTCTAGGCAAAACTCTTGAATTTAGTATCATAGTCCTCTTCCCCCCCGCCCCAGTTCTGTTAATTAAGGTCCATTTTGATAGCCTGATATCCCTATAATAACTTAAAGCTATTGCAACACCATCCCCCATAATGATTATAAACAGCCCTTTGAACTGTAAAACGCTCCTCTGATGCACTGAAACACTTCTACTGTGCTGACCATCTTGCCCAGTCTTCCCAGGAACACTAAATACTGATTCAAATCAAAGGTGAATATTCAAAACTCTCCTGTCTATGATTTTTTTCAAATGAAGTCTCAGTGCAGTCTCATACTCAAATGCGTTGTTCATAGCTTCAGGCACAGTTAGAATATAAGCCAGATGTATTTTCTTAAACCTAGCCCACTGATATGATGAAAGGTGTTACAGCTTTGACTAAACAGTTGAAATTCAGCTGCAGAATTGCTAGATCAAGTGCTTTGGAGTGGGGGAGAACAAAACTACCCTTTCTTTCTGGGAGCTGCCTGCACTTACAAGAGGATTAGGCTTAATAAAGCCATACCCTAAACCTAAATTTTAGAAAACAGTTTATTCCAAGAGGTAACTCTTGACAAGATATACACCTCATCCCCCGATTGCTGTACATACATCTGTTTATTCCTAATGACATTTTCACCCTGTCAAAAATAACTCTTGTTGAGCCCAGTCATTTCTGGTAGCAGAACCACATTAATATCACAGAGCAGGTATCATGTATCTATCTGCAGAAGCAGACAAAGAAACTAGGCTTAACAATACACATTACATTTCCAAACAGAACTTTGATGCAGACAGTGACATTTACTGAAACTCAGCTTTTACCAAAATATTAGCATAATACAAAAATAATAATTAAAAAAAAAAGTTAAAAAGAAGCTGCTGATTTCCACGCACCAGTTGAAGAAAAAAACCCCTTCTTGCATAAATGGAGCAGCAGCACAGAACAAGCACAGACATGGCTATTATACAAATACATCATCTGTAGGAATTTCCAAGTTATCCACCCAACATCATAATACCATGTTTTAGCATCATATCAATGCTGGCAAAATCTAGTATTAAAGCCATCATGCAGGCTAAGGGGAATTTCTTCTGCCGTGCTGAACACTGCTGTGCTTGCTTTGAATACATACTCTCACTCTGATTTGTCTTTGTAGTAAATGGACCTTATACTCTAACAGTCACATTTAGTCAGAAGTAAAAAAAGTTCTGTAGCCCATACTGGGCTTTAGTACAGTCAAGATAAAACGACAAAATACAAGGATGTCATTAAACTGCATATATTATAGAAAACGGGTTCACTTTGCATTTAAGTCACACTTAATACAAGACATGTTGGTCTGAAACTGTGAACTGATTCTATCTGGAATAAAGTATGGCACAGATGCCCAGTATCTATGGACATTGGGTAAATAACTTATTTTTCTCTTTGCAATGATTATCAATTCGCCAAAAATAGTGTAACAGTCAAAAGGGAAGAGTGAAGGAAAACAATTTAGGAGAAGAAATAAAAAATGTCTAAGAATTGAAAATAAATGCCTTATTGTGTAAGAAACTTTATTTAACTTCATTTTTAAAAATGCATTCTCTCCTCAGAACAAATACCACCTTAAAAAAAGAAAAAAACCCCACAAAACTGCAGTAGCACACAGTTGCACTCAAAGGAAAACATGCAAAACCCATGGCTGGAAAAATTCTGCATAAAAATCCAAGATTTCAGGCCCCCATGTGCCTTTAGCGACCCCAAACCACAAACAGCTTTCAGTGCAATGCCTCTTGCTTTCAATTGGTGGAGAAACATGGCTAAAACTTGTCTTCCGACAGCTACACTCTCCCAGGTGTTTGAAGCAAACCCAGCCTCAGCTGTACTTCAAAATATCATTCTTAAACTGCTGCAGAAAGTACAGAATTCAGTAAAACGTCAGAATCCAGTGAAGGAAAGGTTTTGAGTTCTACCCTGTGCCATACACTTCTTAAAAAAAATTAGACAGAAAAGTGGATTTTATTAATACACCCTCTTTAAATTTTTTATTTCTGAAAGCAGCTCTTTATGCAAATCAAAAGCAGTTCCTGAGTAACTGCAGTAAACAGTGTCTTTAAATATTTTTGCGCCTCGGCTCTTCTGTTTTGGTTCTTCCTTGGTTTTCTCCCCAGTTTTCAAGTTTAGTCTCAGTTCTTTTTCAAAAATGTGCAAGTTCAGTTAGCATCATTTCCAGAAGTCCGCAGCTTGCAGGTCTTCCTGCAACAACTACAAGATCTGCACGTATGCTAGGTTGTACTCCTACACCTATTGCAGATTTTGCTCTCAAACCTGTACAGCATGCACCTTCACGTCTTCTTCAGCATACGCCGGGACTGCCATGTATGGAACTTATTGTAGGCCGTCTGCAGCATCTCTTCTATATGACTTACCAACTGAAACATTAAGAGGGAATTAAATGTCCCAGCTACAGGAAAACACATCCCCTCCCCTCCCTTTGATTAGATACTGTTGGAGTCTTCCTTTTATTCAGTCAAAGTAATCTTGCTAAAATCACAGAGGTATGCCAAACAGGGGAAGGACCTGAAGCTCTATTGCAAAGTATCTGTAGAGGGAGCAGTTCAGATAGCTACTAAGCTGGGAAGGTCACAGGGAAGTAGTGACACTTGACTGTGCTGTCTGCTCCAGTATTTAGTCAGACCAGTTCAAGTCTGACATGGTGTGAGACAGTTTTGAAGCTGCTATAGTTCTGCTTCATGGTGGAAATGAGAAGTGAAACATGACCTCCGCTTCTTGCTGTCTCACTTGGGCAATTTTAAGTTATAGTTCTTGACAGTTTCTGGTATCACTCAGAGTTATACAGAGAGAGGAAACATGCTTAAGCATGTATCTGATTTCCCTCTGCCTATTTCCTAGTTAACAAAAACCTTAAATGCCCTAGGATAAGAAATAACAAAGCTACCATCCTCTGATAACTATGATTCAAACTATTAATAAGCACCCACATAATTAAAGATTATTTTCCCCTTACATTTGTGCTTAAATACTGTCTCCGAATCTTTTCTTGGAATGGGCAGAGCTTTGTAACCTGAAATCTTTCCAAGTTGCTCTTCATTTTCACAACCTGAAAGTGGGAGAAAACAGTATTATAATCACTTTGCATAGAAGTTTCGTTTCCTTTAACAAATTGTTCCCCAAGCAAACACCTCGTAACTAATCCTGGGGTCTACTTTAAGTATGTATAGTTCGAGGAAGAAAAGTTATTAAAACATCAGTGTCTAATCATTCTGGAGTGCATGCTTATTTTTGAGGTGAGTGCAATATGACAAAGTACAGTGTGCCGCTGTGATCATTATTACTTTGTCAGTAAATACTACAGAGAAAACAGTCACGAAACCATGTTTTTGCTTCAGGCGAAGACCGTACCATGAATTTCCAGGCCATGTTTTGCAGTGCAAAATCCAACATATCTGCAAATTTTTATCTTTGTGATCCACATGAGGTCAAAAGAAAGAACAGCAACAGAAAAATAGTTACAGTCATGTACCTGGTTGCAGCAGACATCTCTCCTCAAAAGCACCTTTGTTCTAAAAGGCAGTGTATGTTTTGAAGCTATGAATGAGTGGTTTTTGCAATGGATAGAAGAATAAGGAAAACCTTCTTGTAACTGTCACTGTGGAGCTGTCTTAATGTGGGGAAGGGGAGCTTTACTTTGTGTGTTTTAAACTGGCAATGAGAAATCTGCAGCTGACCATTCTGTTGAAATCAGCTTGCAGCAACTGCTCCTGACAGGCACCATCAGGCATAAGGTTGATTTTAATCACTAGTACCAAAAGAACTGCTGAAAAAAAAAAGTAGTATTTTACATTGTTTTCTGACCTTCAGTTCTAGGGATGACTAACTGCTGCACTGATTTAAAGCATGTCTATTAGTTCTATACTTCAAGTTAAAGACAGTCATCCAAAACAATGATCTGGCCGCATTGTAACGAGGGCCATATTAGGAAGTTCTTACCTTTTCTTCCAGGAATGGCGTGTTAACAGGAAAGCAGGACCAGAAGTGTCGTAGCAGTTCCCCTACTGCCACATACAAGTGTTTTAGTTCAGACTGAATGTCATTTGGCACCATCTCTGCAACAGGAAAAAGATTTTGTTGCATCACTCAAAACTATCACATGGAAACAAGAGAATGTAAGGCTAATGAAGGAGACCAGCAATATGCATTTCTAGTAGCATCCCAGAAAGGTTGGCTGGGAGGGAACAACTGAGGTGCCTCACACCTGAAGTAGGACTATTAGCAGCATTAGATCAGGTCAGCTGCTATTTATGACTATATAGTTGGAAGCTTGTATATCATATAGGGAGATCTATGTCGGGCTAAGAATGGACATAAAACTTAATCCAGGATTAGAAGCAATATACTTGTACTGTTCTAATGGTGTGGCAGTACTGCTTCTGGGACCAGCACCTTCTTCTCTTCATAGTACAGCGCTAAATACTACGTGGTGGATACTGCAAGCTCTTCTCTCTTTTACAATGGCAATGAAAACATGGTCACAGCCTGTGGAAGATGAAAAATCCAGGCAGGAACAAGGAACTGATCCCAGATGCTCTTAAAGGAGAAAGGGCAATGGGGTTCAAGAGCAGGGAAGGAACCACAATCATAAAAACCAAAGAAAAAAAGCACAGTCATTGAGGATGGCAGGAGCACAATTAACTGAGCAGTGAACAGCAAATTCTAGGATGAGGCTGGCTTTAGTTTGGTTGGTTGGGTTTGGTTTTGTTTGTTTCTGTTTTGGTAAGAAAAAGGTGGTCAAGCTCAAAATGGAGTGTAACACCCAGTATGTCAACTGGGATGGGTAAGAAAGCCTCACTATGAAAGCTTGCTGACATCTTTTCTTTCAGTACCATAAAGAACTTAATACTTGCTTTTTCAGCTGTCTGCATCAGCTTCTGCAGCTCTTCACACCAGGTAACACAAGTTAACTGGAAACCTGTTACAAACCCTGCCTTGTGAGAATAGGGATTCACCTGCTGTGATGCAAAAGGAAATGAACTTGGGAATAGCTGAATAGAGATGTAAGAAGAAGGAGTTGTCTGTTTTGCCCTTGCAGTCTACAAGAAAGTTGTCCTTTTTCACAGCAAGCTGTTGATCTTAAATGTAGGCTGCAGAAAAAACCTAGTTCCAGACAATTATCTTGACCTCACCTCCTTTAGTGCTTTCCCTGAGTATGCCTTTATT